TGGCCAGAGTGTGAGTTCCTCACCTGTCGAAAGTACGTCATGGTGAATCACATCAATGGAAAGCACACCAACCAGCGGCCGTATTCCTGTCCACTGTGCAATTTTAACTTTGTCAAGCGGTACTTCCTCAAAGCGCACATGCACAAGGTGCACAAGAGGCGTATCAGCATTGACGGAAAGGACGACGACGATGACATGCCGCCAAGCATGCGAGGAGACAAGCGAGACCACGAACTGATGATGGACTCATTCGATGACAATCAGTTTGAGGGCATTCCCGACACTCCGGAGACGCCCAACACAGGGGTTGCTGTCGCTGCCTCATCAGCTATTGTCCCACCCGTGGTGCAATCGAATAAGAAGAGCAAAAGTCAGCAGAAAAGTGAACCACCGGCGTACCCGGCCAGTGCAATGTCTAATGGCAGCAGCTCAGGCTACTACTCCAACAGTGCCAGCATGACTGACGCCTACTGTCCGCCCATGGTGGCCAATGGGCCAGGGGGCGAGTTTGGGGGAGTGGTCGGCAGTGGGGAGATTCCCGCCACTGTTCAGCAGTACTCCAACTACAACTCCGGGGGCACCGGTTACGGTCCCCACCACCAGCACCATTCCTCGGTGGTCGATCCAATGCTCAGTGGTCGAGGGCAGATGAATGGGTACTACAGTGATGATGCATACGGGTCAAATCTTCCTGTCCAGAGTGGCAATGCAATGGCATGCAACACAACTGCTGCTGCTTCTTATAAAAGCAATGGCGGCCAGATGAACAGCGGTAATGCGACCGGACATCATCATCAGCAGCAGCACCACCAGCACCAGCATCAACAGTCTGCCGTTTTCATGACGCCATCACCGTCGTCTTCAGTTGCCTCACCGCTTTCATTTCCCACTGCTACTGGATCAGCTGGAACACCTAATCAGAAGTGCTCATTCCCATCTCAGGTCTCAATGTACGACAACTTTGGTGACAGTTCAACAATGCAGTACAACANTTTTCATGACGCCATCACCGTCGTCTTCAGTTGCCTCACCGCTTTCATTTCCCACTGCTACTGGATCAGCTGGAACACCTAATCAGAAGTGCTCATTCCCATCTCAGGTCTCAATGTACGACAACTTTGGTGACAGTTCAACAATGCAGTACAACACTGCTGGAAATGGCTACGCTCAGCAGCAGCCGCAGCAACCTCCATTCATTGGTCGAAGCTACTCCCAGTCGAGCCAGTCATCAGGCAGCATGTACGGCAATGCAGTCTCTGGGAAGTCACCTCTTTCCAGTGGTATGATGAACACTGCCGATCTGCTCACTCCCCCGCTGAGCAGTGGCGGCACTCCCACTCAGGGCAACTGCTGTCGTTCAGGCTCAATCGGCGGCTCAAGCAGTGCAGGTCGCATGTCAGCCACTCCGAACACAACTGGCGCAGCATGTTACCCACAGGACAACTTCAACTCCAACTCATTTAGCTCTGAGGGAATGGTTTCAGGGCACACTTACCAGAACAGTGGAAGCTTTGATGACTTTCTCAGTCCACCCTCCTCCATTTCTTCTTCCAACTCAAACTTTTCTGGCTACATGAACAGTGGGGGAAACATGTGCGGCGTTGATCAGCAACAGCAACAGCAGCAGCAGCAGCAGCATCAGTCTTCTGCCACCACCCAACGAGGTCAGCAGGCGAGCACCCCTGCATCTGCCTCCATGGCCAATGCTTCCTCATTTTACCTGCACACTCCCTCCCCTTCGCCCTCTTCCCTGTCGCACTCACCTGCATCGGCGCCGGTGTACGGCAACACTGCCGCCGCCGTCTCTTCCTCCTACAACAACAACATGTCATCATCATCGCAGACCCCCTCAAACAACCACCAGTACCAAACTAACTTTAGCAATGCCTTTCCCAACTCCGCTGATCTGACCGGCAACAACAACAACAGCAGCAGTGGCAACTCTGCAGCAATGGTCAACCAGTCGCCCAGTCACTCATCGTACCAAGCACAGCCATCACACCAGTCAAAGTCAACCTTTCCTCAAAGTCATGCATCATTTGCTTCCCAGCAACAACAGCAGTCAATGCGCCCAGTTCAATCTCAGACTGTTTCCTACAACAACAACAGTCAGTCAATGCAGTACGGCAATGCATACGATGGCAGTGGGTATTTTGACCAGCACAACACCGAGTCCGCCTACCCAGCGGCCAGTGGTCGCAGTGCAGCTGCAAAATCAGTTGGTCCATCAGCCGCATCAGCTGTCTCGGCTAACAGTGCCTCGGCTAATAGTCATTTCTACGGTAACCACTTTGCGCCAATGAACCCGACCAGTGGTCTGTTCGACTCGTACGCTGACTCCTACCCGGTAGGCGGTGGAACGATGGCTTCCGGTGCTGCTCCCAAACAGCAGATGTACCCTGGTGGTGGTCATCACCAGCAGATGCCCAGCGCAGCCGCTCAGGCACAAACGACCTTCAATGGTGCCCAGTACTGGTAAACAACAACAAACAGAGCCCAAAAGTGTCCCCAAGTATTCAGAAGCAGTCCCAAAGTCTCAAAGTCCCAAATGCACTAAAACGCACTTTTAAGTCATTCATCGTCAGTCACACATACACTTTATTTATTGATTGTCACCTCCACATTTGCATGCTCACCACCACCACTGTTCACCATCACTGCTATTCACAGAACATCACACACCCTCACAGTCTGCCGAAATCGATCAGACTGCTCATCTCAAGAGGCCAAGAAGTCTGCTGCTGTTGCTGAGAAATCAGCGCAAGCACACACACATGCTCTCCCGACGATTGACTCGTCACTTTTCGTTCTCTTGTTGACTTTGCTCCTATCTCCCTCCCTTGTTCTCTCTTTATTTGACTGATCTCACTTACCGCCTCGATCACCGATCCTCAATCATCGATGCCTCAACATCAACTCTCACCATCTCTTGTCAAAGTCCACTGTCCCCAATTACCGAATAAATTATTCCCCACTCCATTTTCATGTCGTTTCACCCCTCTCACCTCCACCACCTTCTTTTCTCCTTCTCCTCCACCTCCTCCACCTCCTCCTCCTTTTCTTCTCAATCCATCATTTTATTCTTTCATATAATATTCTCTTGACTCACATTCATCACTTATTTATCTTTCCTTTATAATTCCCTTCTCCCTTATTTAAGTTTTTTTCTTCATCATTTTTTTAAATAATTTAATTTTATTCGTTATATTTTTTCTTTTGTTGTCAACTTTTTTTGTTTTTGATTTTTTCTTTTTATTTTTTCTCTAAATCTATTTTCTCAATGTTTCCACATCTCTACCTTTTTCAAAAACTTGATGTTTTATATTATGTAAATACAAATAACAATAACAACTCGTTATCCTTTATGCAAACAAATATATGATTGAATCCTTTATTACAATTTATATTTCAAATCTATTTAAATAAATGGTTAACTTTGTTTATTTATTTACTTAAAGTTTTTAAATTTTTTCGTTCACTTCTTGCACTGAGAAAACAAAACATGCAAGTGCAGTTCTAGTATAAAATAACATTTAGTTTACAATTAAACTGAAAAGCAAGTAGGCTGACTGGCAATTAATCAGAATAAAATCTAATCTAAAGCGCATTAAAAATTATACTAGTGTACTTCGGTTAATGACCTGAGCAAATGGCAGTTTTTTTTATAATGGAACAAATTTTTAATTTACTTTCTTCACATTAATCACAAGTGGTAAATTGTGTTAAATATAACTTTGTTTAACAAATAAATTAAACAGTGCAATTGAACATTTAAATGCAAACACGCTAGTGTGAAGATAAAAGATAAATGTTCAGATAACACGAAACAGATGAAAAATGAGTTGTAGCATTTTCAAGAAATTAGATTGTAAGTATGTGTAGCTTTATCAGCAGCCATGGTCGTTAGATACATTTTGTGCTTAGACAAGTAAAGAGGGCGCCATGTCCCGGAGAGTATCAATCAAATGTTGTTGCTAAGAGACGGTCAATTTATTTTTCATTTGAAATGAAATTGGAATGAAAAATCTGCTTTAAGTAAATAAAATGTTTAATCAAATGTAATTTATTCACTCTTTTCAGTAGCAAAATTTTGAAAATGAAGTTTTAAAAAGTACATTTGCACTGATTGAATTCGGAGAAACCGAATAGCCAACTTTTGGAAAGCATAACAAATTTTGTTTATACTATTAAATTAAATTGAAAATGATGTTTGACTTTTAAATAAAATATCAAAAAAAGTTTTTAATGTTTGTGAACATTAAAAAGAAGTGAAGGAAAACACCCATTTCTTCCTCTTCAATAAATAGTAAAAGAATAAAATTCACATGAACTTTTCTATTTTGGTTGCAACTTGGTAATTTTGCAACACGACTAAAAAGGCATATTGTTTGCCTGATGCGGTATTTGGAGAAAATAGAAAGAAATGTTTTCGCTGCCTAATGGTATTTCTGTTGAATTTACGTTTGAAACTAAGGAGCCTGCAGCTTTTAGTGGAATACCAATAAAGTTAATAGTTTTGACTACCAATCAAAACATACATTTCCCCCCGGTCATTACACAAAATGTATACGCAAATGGGGGATGAATAATTTAATAAACAAAAGAATGTGTTGACAAAAGAAACAAAAAATCACAATTCTACAAATGAAAGCATTCAAATAATAAAAACGGTTTATTCTGTGAGTCCTCTTAGATAGTGTTCCGGTTGGAGGCGACCATCATTCGGGCGCACTCTTCCGGCTTCTTGTCCTTGTACTCAATCAGCCACCGCTGGTCAATGACACACAGATTACGCATGTAGGACATGGTGGTGTGCACCAGCTCCACGAAGAGGACGCACTCGGGACGGCTGGAGTGGCCGAACAGACAGGAGGAGGGGTGAATGAAGACGGATCGGGAGGACAGCGAGTCAGCGGCGGTTTCGTTGCCGGCTGAGTGCTCACTGCTCTGCTTGGTGGCCGCCTGTCTGGCTGCCTTTCGGTTGTGAAAGTCCACCAGTTGGTAGTCGTTGCTGCGCTGAATGGAAGCCACATTGCCGCCCAGGCCGACGCCCACCCCGGCGCCCACTGCGATGCAGCGGCGAATCTGCTCGGTGTTGCCGCTGCAGCTCACCACGGGAATGTCCACCTTGGCGCACAGGTCCGCCAGCTGGGCGCGAATTTCGACGGCCATCCGCAACGGCAGCGGCCGCAGAAAGTTCTCCAGGCACCAGGCATTGTTCTGCTTTGCCTCCTTGTATCGGCGGTAGACGTTGAGCAATTTAATGAGATCACCCTCTGGCGAGGCAAACTTCCGGTGCATCTTCAGCGCCTGGTCACGCTTGTCGGAAGGTAGAATGAAGATGTTGTCCACGGAAAGCATCGAGATGATGACCAGAATTTCATCGGTGCAGCGAAATGCTTTTGAGGCGATGATTAGCGCGGAGAAACGAGGGTCCACTGGGAAAGTGACCATCTGTCGACCTAGATCAGTCAACTTGTACAACAGTGTTGGGGAGGTAGTGGAAGGACGAATAGAAGAACTGCAGGATTCGGAGGCAGCAGGAGGAGATACCTTTGCCTCTTTCACCTCTTCAATTGCTCTCAGCAGGAGAAGTGACTCCAATGAAGAGTCAATATTCTCCCTAGCAGGTGGATCAACGAAGTCAAAGTTGGCCACGTCCCTGATGCCCATGGCCATCATCTGCAGGAGAATGTTGGCGAGGTTACACTTCTGAATCTCCGGCACCGGAAAGGGCGGCCGCCCTTTGAACTCCTTCTTCGTGTACAGTCGGTAGCACTGACCGGGAGCCAGGCGGCCGGCACGACCGCTGCGCTGGGCTGCCTGAGCTCGGGAGATGTCCTCCACCTGCATCACCTCAAAGCCCGTCTTCGGCGAGAAGATGCGCACTTTCACCTTGCCAGTGTCAATGACGAAGCGAATGTTCGGTATGGTGACGGAGGTCTCGGCGATGTTAGTGGAGAAGATCACCCGGCGAAAGCAGTCATCACGGGGGCGGTTGAAGATGGCCTGCTGCTTGCCGTTCGGCAGGGCCGCGTACAGTGGGTACACCTTCAGCGTTTTGCTAATGCCACTGCGAGTTTTGAAGGCATTCAGCTGCGGCGTCAGGTCCTCCACCGTTTTGATCATCGACTCAATCTCCTCCTGACCGGTGCAGAAGACGAGAATGTCGCCCCCGATTGGTCTGCTGCGTTTATCCACCACACTGCTGCTGCTGCTGCTGTCCCTCCTCTGTCCTCCTCTGAGCTGATCATCACCACTACTACTCATGTCCAGTTCATCCTCCTGCTGGTGAATCTGAAAGATGGTGATCAGGGCGGTGGTAACGTAGTCGGACTGCTTCTCCTGAGTGTACAGAATTTCAATTGGATAGGTTCGCCCCTGAATGTAGTAGACCGGCGCCTGGTTGAAGTAGCGCGAAAAGTTGTCCACGTCCATCGTCGCGGACATGATGATCATCTTCAGTGGTCGATGTTGTCGTTGTGTTGGGCTGTTGTCTGAGTCGAGCGGTCGCTTCGGGGTGCAGTTTCGCAGCCGCTGCGCCTTCTTTACCACTCCAAAGAGAACGTCAGTGTGGACCGTACGCTCGTGAGCCTCGTCCAGGACTATGACTCGGTACTTGCTGAGCAGCGGGTCGGAGATGGCCTCGCGCAGCAGAATACCGTCCGTCATGTACTTGATGCGAGTCTTCGCCGAGGTGACGTCCTCAAAGCGGATCGTGTAGCCCACTAGGCCGCCCAGCTCGGCGCGCATCTCCTGCGCCACTCGGGTGGCGATTGAGGTGGCGGCCACGCGACGAGGTTGGGTGATGCCGATCAGGCCGTAGAAGTGCGGATTGGCGTAGAACTCGTAGATGAACTGAGGAATTTGCGTCGTCTTGCCGCAGGCCGTCTCGCCAATGAGAATAATCGTGTCGTGGTCTCTGATCTTCTGCATCAGCTGGTTCTTCACTGCGCATATCGGCAGTTGGTTAGCACCGTTCGACAGTGATGCTCCGCTCCTAGCGCCTCCTCTGTCCGGGTAGTGCTGGCCCGTCTCTCCTCCGTTGTGCTGCTGGTACCCGGCCGGTGAGTGGCTGGAGAGCGTTGCCGTCGAGGACTGCGATTCAGGTGAGGGAGTGGGCGAGAAGGAGGCCGGCGTGGCCGGTGAGTTGGTGAGTGAAGAGTCGGTCAGAGGTGAGGGAGTTGCCGAGGAATCGAGTGAGCCGGCCTGGTGATTACGCTTCTGCGGCACAATGATGTCCATCGCCGGCACCATGGTGGAACTGGTTCAGTGAGGGATGGAGGGAGTGAGTATGTTGTGTGCTGTGTATAATTGGGCTTAAAAAAGGTGCAGATCAATAGGATCGATCGAGGAATGCAAATAGCGGGAGTGTTACTGCCGGCAACAACAGCACTGTCGGCGGGTAGAGGCAAAACAAAGTAGGAGATCTTCAGCACGTGCGCGGCTCAGCGGCTCGCTCAGCCTTCGCCTTCGCCTTCGCCTTCACTTCCCTGCCTCCTCTGCTCCGTAAGCAAAACAGTGAGCGAGCGAGCGAGTGCCTGGATCCGTACTACGCAACCGCGAGCGAATCCACTGTCGAATCATCGGCATCGGCACTCTATTTTCATCCAGCGCCACATTTCTGGCGCGAGCGCCACTGGCGCCCCGTTACAGTAGAACCAGAGAATTTGGAACGCTTTGCAGTAATAAAAAAATAAACATTTAATAGTGTGATTTGGCTAAAGAAGTGTATGTTCGGAGCATCAGTAAGGAAACAGCAGCTGGCCTCAATGTGATAGTAACCCAAAATGCACGTATTATAAAAAAGATCTATACAGATCAATGTGAATATAATCGACAGTAATTAATCAGCAGCAGTAATAATAAAAACAGGTAATGGTCTGGTAAATAAATAAAATATATTTGGTGTAAAGGGGCGGGGGGGCTTATATTAAAGGACCCAAAAGTAGAGGAAGATGACCAAAGCGATGACCCCACCGAAGGCAATTTTTGCGTATGTTGCCCGTAAGTTCAAGTAACGAGCGTCCTTTTTGTATTTCTGTGACAGCGCCGACAGGTTTGTTGCTTTGTTGTCAAGCTCTAAATGATAAAGAGGGTGCCACGTTAGACGACTACGCAGTCAAGTACAGTTGGTATGCAAACAAACAAACCTGATATGGCAATGCCTCGTTGCAAAACGTCGTCGATATTTTGGACCATAATCTTCTGCACATCTTGCAATTCATTATTGAGCTGATTGAGATTGCGGCGAGAGCGAGAATCCATAAGCGATTTCTTAATTTTCTGAATGTAATTGTCTGAAAAAGAAAAATTACACTAAATCATCCGTCAGTTAAAAGAGGTTCGTACCAAACTCAATAAAACTATATGGCCGTGAAACGGTGTGTATTCGTGAGCCGTACTGTTGAAGGAATTCATTCTGCACATTCTCGAGGAATGAAAATGCCAACCGTTTAGAAAATGATTTTTCTGTCAATGCAAGGTAGCACACTTGATTGTCGTTTAGCAGGCTAGAGAAAGGTTAAATGTTAAAAGATGAGTAACTGAAACTCCCGAGTCCAAAACATACTAGAATAAGTAGGGTCCAGTTTCGATGGACATCTGCGGAGGCGACTGAGGATTGAGCTTCCGAAAGAGCTTCTTAGCCTGGTTCTGATATTCTTGAATATTTCGACCAATCTGGGGACAAGACATAAATCTTAGCATCTTCAGGAAGAGTTAGACGCAAAGCGGAGAATACTTACACCTTCATCATCCTGCACCGAGGCGGCCAGTGGCAAACCATCGGCAATGCGGGCGATCATTGTCATTATCACCATTTTGACGGTGGAACTATGTACACAGGTGATTCTTTTCAGTAGTTATTTGGCCTATTTGTGTCGACAAAACTGTGTGACGCAATAAAGGTGAAGAAGAGCTTCTAAAGAAAATCCACAGATCAAAAGTGACGTGGATTGTTGCTGTGACTTTTCTTTGCTACGAGGAAAAAATTGAGGAAAAACAGCAGACGGCGACACCTCGTAGAGTACGTGTCCAGCCGCCAAATCATCAACAAAACAAAAACAGCCCACTCTGTCCCGCTGCGAGGCCCTAGGTCTGTCAAAAAGTACTCTTTTCTATAAACAACTAGACGAGTCGGTGCTGATTTAGAAAATTCTAGAGAGTAAACTAAACTCTTTGGTGCGCAATCACTTTACAGCTTCAAAACCGCCGGCGATTTTTCTTATCAAACTATTCAAACAACTTATCAGCTGATTTTGACATTTTATTTGTGTTGTTTTGCAGAACCCGAAGTCGAATTCATTGCATCAAAATGGTCTTACAAAAAGATGAATGTCGTTGAGTTGCTAAAAGTAGCAGCTCCATAATCTATCATCATCAAAAGTCTGTCCACTCTCTTTCTTCTCCCCCTTCACACTCTGTTGACGTCATGCTATTTTGCCGGCTTGCGAAATACACCTGATTTAGTTGCTGGTGACAATTCACCACCGGTTCCTGGTCTGAACTTTGTAGAGCAGCAGCATCATCCTGGTAATTATTTTCATTTTTATCGTTTCTTCAAATGACACCACCACTCTCTCAACAGGCATCATCTAATTACCTTGGCGTACTTTTCCACACGTGTGTAGTTGTACATTTGTAGTTGTCGTATATTTTTAGCGCATTCTTAGACGCGGATTCCTTTACCCTGTTCGTCTCTCTGCTGTCTACCACTGTTGACATATCACTTCTTGAAGGCATCACTCACTGCACAAATCACTCAAGATGTCGCTTGGTCAGTTCATCAACAAAAAGTTTCTCCTGTATGCGTTCGGCATCTTCTTCTGCTACTCGTACTACGGCATTCTTCAGGAGAAAATGTAATTAACCTGGAAAAGGTTCTGATTCTAATAATTACTAAAACATTTTGTTTTTTAATTTTGCAGCACTCGCGCCAAGTACGGCGTCAAGAAAGAGGTGTTCACCTACTCGATGTCGCTCGTCTTCGTCCAGTGCATCGTGAACACGCTTTTCGCCCTGGTGCAGATCTTTGTGGTCAATCGACGATCAGAGGGCTCAACCCGGGACAGTACGACGCATTTCTTCTACGGTTGCAGTGCCCTCTCCTACCTCACTGCGATGGTTTCCAGCAACCGGGCAC